TTAATTTCCAAACCAGAATGTCTAATGTTCCATTTATGTTTGTCAACATCCATCACATCAGGATCTCAGGAACCTCCATGGTAATGAATAAATTTGCATTCATACCGAGATTCCTTCCCTTCTAGGATGTGCTTCATCATGATCATGGTTTGAGCTTCTCCCATGCACTGTATCCACTCGATGACTGTGGAAGGGGCATGTCCAGAATTAAGAACCCAGTCATGATACTCTTTGTTTAATCCTTTTCCGAAGAAGATCCCTGCTTCATGTGACTCTTCCTTGAGCTGAGCCTTGTTGACAAGCCCCATAAACTCAGCTATGTATGCTTCAAGTTCACGTTTGCCTTGAGAGATGTCCAAAAGGTGAAGTATTGCGAGAGCAGTTTGATTGCCAGACTCGAAAGTAGCTTTGAGATGCTCAACGAACCTCTGGAAGGTATTGGTGTAGTAGATTGTTCCGTTGAGAAGCTTGTTTTCATTTTGATAATTCTCAGCAAACGAAACTGCTGTGCCTTTCGTCATGTACATGAGGGCAAATGAAATCTTGAGCAACTCCATGTTGTACACATGCTTGTTCAGGTTCAAATATCCTTCGACCTGCATAACCCAGGTCTGAAGCCCATTGTGGCTTCCATTGTATTCTCTGGGACACCTGACATTAAACTCCTGTCCTCCATTGGGTGGGCAGCAATTGTACGTGTCATCAGGATCGGCTGGGGCCTTACCCTTACTGGACCCACCAATGGGGCCCTCTGGGGGAATTACCTTTCCGAAGTTCCTGGCATACCATTTGCATAATGCCGAGTCCATAGGCATTCCTGTTGGAAATGGGTTGCTATTCTGGGCATGCATCACCTTGCAAAGTTCTTCTGCCATAGCAAGTCTTTGTTCTTCCAACCTCTGTCTCAGTTCCTCTTTGGAAATGGTCCTTGTAGGCATTTCAGGAACTGACTCTCTGTGACCAAGTGTCATGGACATATCTGGTGACTTGCATGCTTCTTGTTCTTCCCTGAGGACTGATCTGAGAGAAGTATCAGACTTCTGATCATCTTCTTCTTCTGAACTAAGCACTGACTTCTGAACCCCTAAACTGGGATAGATAAGATAAGCAGGGATTTGATGCGGTAACTGAGGGTCCTAGTCTTCCTAATGGGATGGGCAGTAGCAGGGGATTCCTGCCGAAGCCCAATGGGATTTGGACAGAGGAGGGACTGGAGGTCTTGGTTTCTGAGGGTTAGACACTTTAACAGGAAGTGATAACGAAGGCTGAGGGAGGATTTATTTCTTCGAAAGAAACCTGTCAGTGCAGACTCTAGGGAGGCGATCTATTAAAGCCTAGTGGCTGCCTGTAGAGCAGTGGATTTGATTGAGGGTTGCAGGGGTGCCTCTCAATTTTGTTATCGTTTGGTAAGCGAGTTGAGGGGCGAGGGGAAAGTGAGTTAGTCTTTGCGCTGAGGGAGACTAATGAGCCTTTGTTTAGTAGATAGGGAAATGGTTTGTTGAAGTTCAGTAACCAGGGACAAGTAGACTTTCATGAAGAGGTTGACAAGTCCCAAAAGCTGCATAGAGTTTTTCAATTTTGTTATGCTCAAGCATGGTGACTTCTTCAAATGGAATAGGCACAAAGCATGCAAGGTGGGAGTCTACAGGCTGAACTTGTCATAACCCCTATGGCTGAGTTATTGCAATGATCCAACAGAGGTTCTGTCTGCTGGTGAGTCCCTGAGGTTGTTCATGCAGAGAGAGAACAAGGATTAAAGTGAAGGGATGAAGCTCAGTTGCAAGCTATCAAAAAACTGCAGATACAGGATGGAGTATGTAGGTTTATATACCCCTAAGTACAAGTACCGTAGCAGTCATGACAGACACGTCGTGACATGTATCCACAGTAACAAACAAACTGATCAGTGAAATAAATAGGAGTCATGTGGTGTCAACGATGGGGGTAGGGAGGCAACAAAGGCTATACCAGCTGGCACAATCAATGTGCAGCGAGGAGCCTGACACCAGAGCTATAGTACAACATATGAGCAATATAAGCAAGTCAGAGACGAGTCAGAAACAAGGAACGTAACAAGTCATCCATCAGAGAGGGTGGTGGAACACCGGATCACAGTGGCAATGCAGTCTCAACAGGTATTGGAAATACCTTGACAGCAGGAGATCCGAATGCTCCCTGGAGCATTCAAGCCCCTAGGATGGCGATGACTACCAGCGATGTGACAAGGCACATGATGCACATGACTGTGAGAAGCCAAAAAAGGAGAGGCCCCTGGCAGAAGCATAACAATACCCAAATATGCAGAGCCTCCAGCTTGCATGCCATCCTGTCCAGCATCTGCATGGTTTCATCCTGTTGTATTTGGAAGTCATACATTCAATCCTCATAGTATTGGTGGTGGGCCTCAGCATCACAGAGTTGACATTCCAAATCTTTGATTCACTCTTCAATTGTGTTGGACATTTGTGACACCTCAGTGATTGGGGCACAGACAGGTGACAGTGCACTGGGAGTTGCAGCAGTTGTGAGTTGGACAGGTGCTGCTGTTGTCAATGGGTGGGTGTCTGCTTTGAATACAAGGGTTAACTGCAATAATTAGTGTAAATGTAGAGTGATTAAACACACCTGCTGCCATAGATCCCTCTACCTCCTGTGCAACTGATGGGCCAGCCTTGATGATTGAATCTGCTTGTACAGCAGCTGGGATTGGGCAGGAATCCCTGCATTTGAATGCAGGAATATGAATCTCTAAATAAAATTTGAGTCAGTATAGATACATGGAATTGTGAACATACTGAGTGAAGATCCCTTGGGGATCATCTCTCCCTGGTTGGGGGGCCCAACCCCAGCATTGATGGCTTTGGAAGCCATCGAAACATGTCACTTTGGGGGACATTCCTTTGGGCTTTGGGATTCTTGGGCCTCCATCATCAGGGACAGACTTTGAGCTCACTTTTTTCCCCTGGCTCATGATGGATTCCATTGAGTTGGAGCAGCAATCCTGCCTTTGGCATGGCTACATCAAATCTTGTGACTGTCACATGGGAAGCAGGACTTCCCAGGGGTCTTGTAGCATTGGACCTTGCATCTGCAGCATGACTTGCAGGAATGGGGGTTGGGGGAAGGCATCCTTCTGGCAGCTATGGCAGCATGACCATATAGTCCATCCAACAGTGGACAAGGCTTGTGTTTCAATTGGCCTTGAGTGGGAACATCTTCATCATCATCATCATCAGTTTCTGCTGTTGCCTTCCTAGAGCAGGATTGACATCTGGATCGATGGGACATTGTTTTCATGGCAGCTTTGTGCTTCTGCCTGCCTCATGCTGGTTCTTCCTCATCATCCTCCTTCTCTGGCACCTCATCTTCACCCTCATCACCCACCTCCATCCTGTGCAAGCTATCCACTATCATTTGCTCCACCTCTGCCTCAGTTGCTTTCCATTTTCCTTTGTTGCTCATAGGCATTTTGGTCTCTTGAGTGGGTGGTGTTGGTGTTGGCACCAATGTGGGGCATAGGGAGGCCCAACTGGTGGTAGTTGTATCAATGCTTGACAATGTCAAGCCACTTGTGGTTGGCAACATTGGTTTTGGAAGGGGATAGGGTGGTCTTCCCCTCAGGCCATGGGTGCTCAATCAAGCTGAGGTCTTCATGCCACTTTAAGAATGTGTTGATGCTGATGAGGGTCATTGGAATCTCATCCATCCTAGTGATGAGGTCACATACAGCATCCTGAATGCATCAGTTAGTGAAAAAAATGTGATGACACTGATGCACTAGTTCATCATTTATCACCTTGATGGCACCTCTCCACTTCACAATCTTGTCCACCTTTCCCAGCTTGCTGCTTTCCATGATATCCTTGAAGTAAATTTGAAGGATGTGGTTGGCCATAGCATCAAGCTCAGGTGATTTCTTGAAGAGCTTGCAAGACAATGACAACAACATGTTTCTGATGATGAGATGATGGAGTAGTTTGATGGTGAGAGTGGTGATGGTGATTGGAGAGTGGAAGAGTCAGAGGTTAAAGACAGATGACAAGATATGTGGATGTCACATTTTTTATCCCACCTATGAATGAGTCCCATGGCATGACAGCAATACCAGTACAAGCCAATAATCCTGAATGCATATATGAAGCAGAGGCTCAGATAAAAATATGATGCATTGTTCTGGAATAGCATTGCTGTTTGTTTTGCATGTTTTCTGTCTGCTCCAATGGCAGAGCCTGGCTCACAGCTACATAGACCAGCACCTGAGATTCCAACTAAATAGGCAAATCATCCAACATGAAACACAATTTATAGTGGGAAATTCAGATACTCTATAGTGTGAGAGGTTCCACTTTCTTCATTTCTTGTCTTCCTGGGCCCATCTTATATTGTGACAGGGGGATAACCCAATTATGGATAGGCCCATCCATTTGTGGTGAGCTATCTATGATATGATGGATTGGCCTGTCTTATGCAGTGCCAAGGGTTTGTAATCCTGCAATGGACAGATCAGCCTGTCTTATGTTGTAACACTGGTTTTTGGAACCGTCAGTCCCAGACTGGGTCAGCCTGATTAGACCCTTTGTAGTCTCGGTGCCAGACATTTTGGGAAGGTGGTGGGAACTCCGACCTCCCTTCCCAAAACGTCTGGTCGAGCCTAGACCCCTTGTAACATTCCTGATGTATGACGAAGACCAGTTAAAACGGACAGTACAGATATGTGAATGAAATGATCCAGTACATGTCTGCCTCTGTGCTACCTGAAGATCTCTGACCAGTAAGTTACTTACAATGAGCTAACTTTTCTAACTAGTAGCTTTCCTCGATAAGAGTGGGAAGCAGGAGGGAACCTTGAAGGATAGCACTTGCTTGGCTGGTAACCGAACAGAGCGAAAAAAAAGAACATGAGACCATCGCGTGTTCTCTGCAGCATTGTACACAGCAAGGCGCTGTGCGACTTGCGCTGACCCCTTACCCTTCCTGCAGTCACCCCACAGCCCTGTATGATGGCTTCGCCGCTGGAACTCTCCTGTATGACTTGAGACTCAGCTACCAATTCCTGGAGACTAACTTCACGAAATACCTGTTTGCAGACATCGAGTTGCAGAGCGCACAGGGCATAGAATCCGTCAAACTCCAACCCAATGGCAGTGAATACTCAATTACTCAAGGTCAAGAGAAGAGCGACACTGTTTCGAAAGCTTTTGATAAGCCATTGTCTGTATCTTTTCAGCTACGCGTCAATCCTACCTCTCAGGTTCACGACTGACCCACGATAGGACATTGGAAACAGAGCCGCTCTATCTTTTTGTAAGCCGAAAGAGGCCGTGGTACTCTTGTTGTGGGGAAACGGTTTCAAAATCCATCCCATTTCGCTCCGTTGATGTCTGGTCCAAGCTGGATGGACAAGGTGAGCTCCGGATTATATGTAGCTCCTAAGCGGGGTCCTCAAATTCGCAGAGTTTCATCAAGTATGGGGCAAAATATCCATTAAGCTCGGCTTCCTGCCCAAACTCAGTCAGGCGTACGCAAAAAAAAAAAACAGGCGTTACACGATGAGTGCTGACGGAGGGTTTACAGGTTACGGTTCCGAGTGCACCCGCAAACCCGGTGCCTTCACAATCGACCACTGAGCAACCAATTGCTGGTCGTTCCACATCGGCTGTAAGTGGGAAACGGTCGGTACTGGACATCTGCTGATGGATGGCAACTAGCAGAATACAGCTCCGAGCGCAGGCACACGTATAGCTGATAAGCCTTACTCAGGACATGGTATCTATGAGTTTAACCTCTCCGGAGAACCAAGTATCGCCAGTGCCTCTGGCAGCTGCAGGGGCACAACGAATGTTGCCTACATTGAAGGTTCAGTTATCAATTGCGTAGGTATCAATCATTGCGATAGGTGCATATATGCTGATTTGCTTGTCAAACAGCGTAGGAAAGCAGAGTGAGCCTGGATGTGCGCAACACTTTATTGGAGGCTGATCTTTTTACAGGAATACTAGAGTGCGCTGGGTACCAGCGCAAATTTCCCTGGTCATACAATATAGGACTGCCCTCGTGTCATACACAATGACATCGTGGCGGTCTGGAACTTTTACGATCCTTGCCAGGTGAGCGTTGTCGCCCTAGCGGCGAGCGTTACTACGGTGTACCGACATCTCCCTTGTAGTACTTGAATAGTGAGGAATTCCGAGAGGTGATGATGAACATGGTTGCGAGAGTTGATGCACCGGCCGAGCCAAATTCCCTCCATCGCACTGACACATTAACCGAGTAAGTATTGTTGTTGGATCCCGCGGTGCGACAAACTCAAAAAAATCTATGCACGTCAAGGGAGGTCCCGCTTATCGCTCTAGCTCCTGTAATGCTGCCATTAAATGCTTTCTTCGGCCTTGGCAAGTGGGTTCTTGCAACATACCAGCGACTGTACGTGGCACTTTTGTGATGCCGAAAGCATCAGATGACTCACCGACCTTTCAGACAAGACGTTCCCACAAAGTTCATGGCTTACATCGCTGATTTGACACACGTACTGGAAATACTGTTTTCATTCACGGCTGGGATGAAGGAGAAGAAGCTTACTCGCATGGCGATTAAGCTGGCATATAAAGCCTACCTTGAATCGCAATGGGTAATGTACACCCACACAGAAATTAGGCATTTCCGGTGTTGGGCTGCGGCTCGTGACGTGGTTCTCGAGAAGATTACAACCATGATCCCTTCAGAGGACAGGGAGGATCGAGTTTCTAGGGCGCTTGAAAGGATGCCATCGGTTGAGTTGGAGAGAGATGAACAGTGGACGAGCGAAGAAATCTCTTGGTGAAGGCTGCGCTTTGATGCAGCCCCTTTCCCTGTCGTTTTGCGTACTTTCACTAGTTTATCTGTTGTATCGCAGTACTGACGCTACTCCTGTCATATCCTGCTGTATTTGCACGTCGTAGCCGATTTGGATCGGGTTTTTCCTGACTGACAAGTCCTCGGGCAGTTGAGCGTCGGTGTCAAACCGATCCGGAGGCGCCAACACGACACCCGTTTGCAACACATTGTCCACTTTACAACGCACTTCTTGCCTGGATTGCTGAAGGTTTACGAACAGAGCCCTGCAAGGGACACATCAGATGGGCCACTGACACGACCTGTACCAGGATCGGCAAGTTGAGCTAGCTTAGGAAAAGTAAACGGATTGGCGTGTATTCGAAAATTTCTGTTCTACATGAGGGCGAAGTCGGGCGCTCTCGGCGGTGGCAGTTGCAGACTCGTACATCGTGGAGCACTGTACCTTGAATGTACCTGCAGCAGGAGTTGATTTCCAAAGGTCAATTCTGGCTGTGCTAAGCGTCAGATTCCTCCGTGATTATAGTACGTTACAGTCCCACCTTCAGAATCCTCAGGTGTGACCCACAGTGATAACGTCTGGGCCGAGACTACCGTAAATGTAAATGGACTATGCGGGCTTCGTTTCGGTCAATTGGAGGGTGGGGCCCTGGGGTTTCATGTCGTTGTGGTGGAGTATGGCCGGTATTGGAAAGAAGGGTGAAGGGTCACCTGCAACGTGGGGGCCAACAACCTGCCCACAGTACTTCTTGGGCGCCTAACGACAGCATGTAAATGCACAGGAACCTCGTAGTCGCCCACCATCTCGAGCCATGTCTTTGCCTCTACAGCTATCCTGTACGGCTTTAGGATTGCTGTCAACATCCTTACTGGACTAACTTTGTGGGCAGATATCGTGTTAGAAGACGCAAAAGATGTCAAATTCGTAGAGCTCAACATCAATGGCACGGCATACACTATACCTCAAAGCCAACAGCGGAGTGACGCTTTTCGCAAAGACCTCGATGAACCTTTGTCAGTCTCGTTTAAACCGCACCTCCTCAAGTCCTTGACTGATTCACTGTAGAAAGTTCGTTGCGGGGCAGCTCTCCATTTCCGTACGCCGAAAGAAGTCGCGTCTCCGTTTCTGGCACCATCCGCCTTTTGAAACCTTCACGATTGGTTCGGGCGATGTTCACTCTAGATTGGAAGGAAATGGTATATTCCACCGTGCACATCTTTCCTTCGACTCCTGAGACCCGTGCAGTGTTTCAGCAGAAACGGGGCGAGTTGCTCATCACCCTCGGATTCGCATCCCAAACCCAAATAGCCGTACGTAAATAATAGATGCCACCGAATGGGCCTTGACAGAGGGCCTGCAGAGTAGAGTTCCGAACCCAAACCCATTTCTCCCTGCTGATACCGAGAGTCTACAATCAAATACCGAGCGGGCGGTAGTAGTGCGAAGCGTACCAACCGTAAGTGAAGAATCAAGCGCTACGAGACGAGTCCTGATATGGAGGGCTTGCAGGATATTGTAGTCGGCAGTGCAGGCACATCTGAGCCATCAAACTCCGAAAGTTTACAGCCAACCACTCAGGAACTGATCGACATTTGTCCTCGGTGAGTACCAAATCCCCACGTTTGGACGGTCGATTCATCTATGTGCAATAGCTTTCGAGTCTTGGTAGTTGGAAAGGTAATCTCAGCTTGCACCCGTCACTCGAGCAGATCCCAATAAAGGTATCTTGTAGTCGGGTGTAGGGAAGTCGACTCTGATCAATCGAATCTTCGGTCTGGAAGTTGCGGTTGAGTGATTGAAGGTTTTCATTCTTACCTTACATTAACGAAGTTGATAGCATGTCGCAAAAGATCGACCAGGGCAAGCAGCTATCGAGAAAGAACTCATTTCAGAGGAGAACAACAGATTCATCTTGCACGACAGCCGAGGTTTCGAACCAGCCGAAGGCAGCAACTATGACGTCGTGAAGTCATTCATAGAAGAGAGGAAGGGAATGCCAGATGTCAAAGATCAGCTTCATGCGGTCTGGTACGTCCTTCTGAGATAGACATTTGAAGGTTCCGACAGCTGATGTACACAATAGGTTGTGTTTCCAGGTACCAATTCTAAAATACGGCGAACGGCTGCTGGAGGACGGTGTGGAAGCGTTCCTTCGCTTTGCTCAGGAAGCCTTAGCGAACAGTGAGCAAAACTATTCTCTTCGCATCTCCTGTTTACCGACTACTGCTAGTCCCGACTATAGTGGTATTTACCAAGTACGACAGACTTGTAAGTTTCGTGAGAAAGAAGAAATCAGCAGACCCTGAGGTGGAGGCAAAACGATATTTGCAAACGTATTGCATCGAGCCAATTCAAGCCTTCACGGGAGGCACAAACATCTCGCATGTTGCGGCTAGCTGTGGGCATCATTTCATTAATTCCTTGCTACCATTCAGCTCAGACACCACTAGCGAAACACAAGTGCGAGCGGGGGCTCGAGGAGCTGATAAACCTCACTCAGGAAAAGGTATCTAAGAATTTCGCCTCCCCGGAGAATGCAGTATCGCCAGTGCATTTGGCGGCTGTAGGGGCCCAACGAATGTTACCGACATTGAAGGTCGAGTTGTCCATCGACTAAGCCTCGTTCATGGCGATCATGACATCTGGTCTAAATTGATTCTCATTTAGAGTAGGAAAGCAGAGTGAGTCCTGGCGTGTAAAGCGACGTATCAGATTACTCAATCACTTCTACCTACAAGGATACTGGAGGGCATTAGCTTCCAGCGCAAATTTCCAGGGCTATACCATGCCGAACTGTCTTCGTGTCATACACACCGACATCGTGCTAGTTTGGAATTTTTATGATCTTGACGAAGTGAGCCGTGTGACCTTATTACTGGGCTCTGTAGGGCATACTCACATCCTCCTCTTAGGTATCTGAATAGCTCAGAATTTCTGAATCTGATGATGAGCATGGTTGAGACTGTTGATGTGGCCACTAGGTCAACATCTGAACCTGCCCCTCTCAGATGTAGCGACGCGTTTGCCATGTAAGTACTGCTGTACGAAGTGCTACGTGACAAGCTCAAGGAAATTCTGGCCAGAGGAGAAGTATGTAGTACATAAGTCGTGATGATACACAACAGACATATGAACTAAATGTCGTCAAGAAACAAACGTGGAGTTTACCCGCGTGATGGCAAAGTGTGGCTCTGCTCCTTGATAGCAATGATAGATTTCACCGGAGGTAAGCCCAATGAGTTTATAATCATGAGCATGCCTTCTAATACAGTGGATGTACTTCCCATGAGAATTTAGAGACGATTCATCCTGTTTACAAGGTCACCACTGCGAATGTTGAAAAAAGCAACTCAATTTTCAGGGTAAGATGCTTTTTTCAACATTCGCCGTTCGCACGCACGGCCACCTGTGAATTTCGGCATATACATGCACGGCAGTTTCCTAGACGCCCACCACCTCGAACCATGTCTTTGCCTCTACAGTTATCCTGTACGGCTTTGAGATTGCTGTTAAAGCCTTTACTGGACTAACTTTTCGGGCAGATATCAAGTTGGAAGACGCGAAAGATGTCGAATCCGTAGAGCTCGTCGTCAATAACATGGTATACCCTATACCTCGAAGCGATCAGCAGAGTGGCGCATTTCACAAGGACCTCGATGAACCTTTGTCAGTCTCGTTTAAACTGCACGTCATCAAGCGCTTGACTGACACACCGTAGAACGTTGACTGCGGGGCAGCTCTCCATTTCCGTACGCCGAACGAAGTTGCATCTCCATTTCAGGCGCCAGCCGCTTGTTGAAACCTTCACGATCGATTTGGGCGATGTTCTCTCCGGGTTGGAAGGACATGGTATATTCCACCGTGTACATCTTTCCTTCGACTCCTGAGACCCGTGCAGTGTTTCAGCAGGAAACGGGGCAAGTTACTCGTCACCCTCGGATTCGCATCCCAAGCCCCAATAGTCGTACGTAAATAATAGATGCCACTGAATGGGTCCTGACGGGGGGCCTGCAGACTAGAGTTCCGAACCCGAACCCATCTTCCCCTGCAGATGCCGAGAGTCTACAGCCAAATACTCAACAGTCGGTAGTAGTGCGAAGTATACCAACCGTAAGTGGAGAATCAAGCGCTGCAAGACGAGTCCTGATATGGAGGGCTTGCAGGATATTGCAGTTGGCAGTGCAGGTATAGGTGTCGCTGCCAACACACTTGCACCTGCGAATCGCGATAGTCTACGACCAACCACTGAAGAGCTCATTAAACAGTGTCCTCGGTGAGTCTCAACTTCACACTTGCCAGTGTCTCACTTATTGCCGTGTAATAGTTTCCGAGTCTTGGTAGTTGGAAAGGTAACTTGAACTTGCATGCCGCCACTCACCTAGGTTCTAACATCCTTACAGTCAGGTGTTGGAAAATCCGCTTTGATCAATCGAATCTTCGGTGTGAACACTGCGGTTGAGTGGTTCAAATTCTGTGTCCCTACCTGGCGTTGATGACGCCCATAGATTGTAGAAAAGGATAAACCAGGGGGAGCAAACATTGAACAGGAATTCACTTCGCCAGCGAACGACCGGCTCATTCTGCATGAAAGCAAAGGTTTTGAGGCGGGCGACACTAGCAGCTGTGAAATCGTGAAGTCATTCATAGTGGAGAGGAAGAAAGAACCCGATATCAAACATCAGCTTCACGCGGTCTGGTACGTAGTTCTGAGACAGCCACGTTGAAGGTTTTGACGGAAGAGTCTACATGATAGGTTGTGTTTTCAGATACCCATTCCGACGTACGGTGAACGACTTTTGGAGGACGCTGCAGAAGCGTTTTTGAAAACAAGGAAGGAAGTCCTAGGGAATAGTGAGCAATTATATTGTTGTTTATTCTCCAGTACACCAACCGCATTCAGCGCCGACAATAGTCGTATTCACGAAATATGACCGGCTCGTGAGTTTCATGCGGCTGAGAATACCAAACGATCCTGAGGCAGGGCAACGATATCTGGAAGAGGAATGCGTCCGGCTAATCAACGATTTTACGGGAGAGGATATTGCACATGTTGCAGTTAGCTGTGGGTGTTACTCCTTCGATTCCGTTCTCCCACTCAGCCCAGAGACCACCAGCGAGATCCAAGCATGAGCACGGGCTTAAGGACCTAATAAGCCTTACTCAGGACATGGTATCTACGAGTTCCGCCTCCCAGGAGAACCGAGTATCGCCAGTGCCTCTGGCAGCTGCAGGGGCACAACGAATGTTGCCTACATTGAAGGTTGAGTCATCAATCGCGTGAGTGTCAATCATTGCGACAGTGCATGCATTTTGACTTGTTAAACAGCGTAGGAAAGCAAAGTAAGTCTGGATGTATGCAACACTTTATTAGAGGCTGACCCTTTTACAAGAATACTGGAGTGCGCTGGGTACCAGCGCAAATTCCCCTGGTCATACAATACAGGACTGCCTTCGTGTCATACACAACGACATCGTGGCGGTCTGGAACATTTACGACCCTTGCCAAGTGAGCATTGTTGCCCTAGCAGCGAGCCTTACTACAATGTACTGACATCTCCCTTGTAGTACTTGAATAGTGAGGACTTCCGAAAGGTGATGATGAACATGGTTGAGAGAATCGATGCACCAGCCGAGCCAAATTCCCTCGCTCGCACCGACACATTAACTGGGTAAGTGTCGTTGTTGGAACCCGTTGTGCGACAAGCTCAAACGAATCGCTGCACATCAAGGGGGGTCCCTCTGATCGCTCTAGCTCCTGTAATGCTGCCATTAAATGCTTTCCTCGGCCATGGCAAGTGGGTTCTGGCAACAAACCAGCTACTGTGCGTGGCACTTTTGTGATGCTTTCAGTATCAGATGACTCAGTGACCTCTCAGACAAGGCGTTCCCACAAAGTTCATGGCTTACATCGTTGATTTGACACACGTACTGGAAATACTGTTTTCACTCACGGCTGGGATAAGAGAAAAGAAGCTTACTCGTATGGCGGTTAAGATTGCATATAAAGCCTACCTTGAATCGCAATGGGTAACGTACACCCACACAGAAATTAGGCATTTCCAATGTCCGAGTACGACTCGTGATGCTGTCCTCGACAAGATCACATCCATGATCTCTTCAGACGACAGGGAGGTTCAAGTTTCTAGGGCACTCGAAAGGATGCCATCGGTTGACTTGGAGAGAGATGAAGAGTGGACGAGCGAAGAAGCCTCGGTGACGCTGTCCTCGACAAGATCACATCCATAATCCCTTCAGGTGACAGGGAGATTCGAGTGTCTAGGGCGCTCGAAACGCTTTCACGAGTTGACCTGGGGAAAGACGAAGAGTGGATGGGCCAAGAAGTCCCCCAGTGAAGCTTGCGCATTCATTTAGCATCTTTTCCTGACGTTTTGCGTACTTTCATTAATTTTCCTGTTATATCACAGTCTGCCTTGTCTCGCTGTATCTGCACGTTGTAGCTGGCTTGGATCGAGTGTTTTTCGACAGAGAAGTCTTCGGGCAGTCATCTGCAATACCTACACTATTGTCCACTTTACAACCCACATCCTGCCATTTTCTCGGAGGTTTATGAATGGCGCCCTGGCAAATCGCCATAACGGCCGTATTGTGGTACAATGGACCACAGCCTGTGCTAGGATCAGCATCATCATCAGCAGTCAGTTGAGTTGGTTTAGGAAAAGTATGGAAAGCCAGATGGTCACGCTCAGGTACATGGTGGGTGATGTGCCATACACCTACTGGATTTGGTAGTCAACCACCTTGGGACTCGGGACGGCCCTGGAAAAATACACACGGGTGTTTGTAGAAATATCTGTAGGTATCCTCAGTAGTGCAACAAGCTACTGATGTATTAGACCAACCTGTAGGTATCTACAGGATATCAGTAAGTATAATACTGGTAGTGAAAGTGAGCTTACCCTCAGTAGTGCAACAAGCCCAAGGGACAAGCAGAAAATGCAAACTAACATTGTCATTCCAGGTCAAGATACCAAACAGTAATGTCTACTTCAACATTTGAGTGATCTTTTGAACCCCAAATCATCCCCATCACCTGTGCCATCTACCACTAGCCCCTCCCCACTGGAAGACAGTGCCATTGATGATGCTCATGCTATTCAACACTTCAATCATGTCGATGAACCATCCTTTGATGAGGACCTTGACTATTCTGCTTGACATGTGACTTCAGGCCAGCTTTATGATAGCTGGACAGCAGTCATACCTATGATTATCAACTCATATCTCCAGTACTTGACTGAAACAACTGGAAAACCATTGGCAGGCTGTGTTACACTGATCTTTAATTGTCACAGCAGGTGTGAGCCAAGGCACTCTTCCCTCCTCTGCCTGTATTTTGATTGTTTGTTGCTGACTTTGTATGTTTGCTGCACACTGACATATTTCTAGGTTTTGCTACTGTGACTATCCTAAGCTGTGCATGTGCACTGCTTCCTCAAGTGCTCCTGCACATCAGAGAAATGGGGAATGACAGAATTGCAGTCACAACCAGTCAGTGACAGGTTTAAACAGGTTTAAACCATTTTTTTGCTTCCTGATGCATTCAGGCCTCTTCCCTACCACCCCTTCTCAACCATGCATAGCAATTTCTGTTGAATTACTTGGATTTTATTGTGTGCTATTTGAATGTTCTTGCAACTCTATCAATTCCCTGGCTTCTGCACTCAATACCCATTATGAGCACCAAGGTTTCTGCTTGACCACCCAAGAAGTGTGTGCTTGCCTTATTAAAATTGTCTAGCTTATGAACATAGTTAACAGGGTAAAATTGTACAAGAACCATTTCATCGCAGCATCAGCCATGCTGTGCAGTGGTTTGATGATTTGCAAACACATGTAGAGCATCATGTAGAAAAGATAATTGGCCACTGTCATGAAATTGTGTCAAAGAACCTTCATCATGCTCAATCAGCTGAGGAAACACTGCCATCACCTATCCCCCCATCTTCCAACTGTCAATCTCCACCATCCCTGGATTTATGTGCTTTGATCCTTGTCCAAAGATGCCCCACTTATTTGTCAGAAAATTATTCAGTCCATTGCAATGATGTCAGATTTTTACATGGTGATAATCAGTTCATGATAGATTGCATGTGAGAGTGTGGAGTTGCAAATATGCTGGCAATGCTGTCGCAATGCCCTTTGCAACAGCAACTGCTACTGTCTGTGTCTCACTGCGCTGTCCACTCATTTTTCTTTATTGTATTTACTGTCTTTACTCTCACAGGACACATTCCCTTTGTTGACCAGTAGTATGCCTCCAGAAAAGCACACTACTACCTGCAAATTGTGTGGGAAAATGTTCAAGCTGACTGGAATAGGACCTCATTGCAAATTGTGCATCAGGCAGGCTCGCAAAATGAATGAAGATCATGCTCACTTTGACTTGCTTCATCAAGAAGGTACATAGGAATTTTACCAGTTGATTTTATTTCTGATTTACCACTGGATTGATTTGAACAGGCATTCTTACTGGTGGATCAGTGACAGGGCCCACTGTTGAGACGCATGCAGAGCCAGCACCGGGTAAGTTTCCTGCTACTCTCCAAATTGGACTCTCACAATTGTTAGCAGAGCCTGCTACATTCTGGCCCATGGTTATGGATCTCAAGCCACCTGCTGGTGCTGATGTGGGTGTGAATGATGAACTGAATGGTGTGTGTCAATATGTGATCACATATTTTCCATGCCAATATGTTATGCAGTTGCTGAACCCAAGGTCGATATCAACATTGTTGACGATATCTGAGTCGAATACCACCTGAATGCTGGAAAGCCAACTGTGAAAGTGCCATTCACCAAGTTCACCTGAGGTCATGCACCCAAGATATACAAACCAGATCCATGCACCACTCTGTGGTACCTGTTCTGAACCCATCTCGACTTTGACCTCTCAGAATTTATCCACAATGCTGCTCTCAACAAGGAGCAAGTGAATTGTATCCTCAAGCTTTTGAAATGTTCTCACACTGAGGACTGGACTCTGAATAATTACAATGATCTTGAGAGCACTCAGTGGGCTGCTTTGCACTGCATGACAGCAGTAAGTGGTGTCTATTCATTGTCATTGTCAACCCTAATTACATCCTAGCCCAGTTTCAGATGATGATAATAAGTGCACCATTTGGAGGTGAGATGATGGAATTTAAGATGTATTATCGTTTGTTGTGGGATTGGGCCTGCGATCTCTTGAAGGATTCAGGTGTGGGCCCATATTTTGTATTTGATGCTCAGTGCCTATCCAAGTTTGATGGTGCTTCATTTGTTCGTTTCATCGATGAGCCATGGATGGCTAACAAATTTTGGGATGTACAAGTATGTCATTAGTAGTCTTTGTGTACAACTTCAACAATTTTTTTTCAGAGTAATCTACCTTTGGATGGCAAAGTTCTAGCATTTGTTTTATATGCTGATAAAGCCAAGTTGTTGTTGTTTGGTTGACAAAAAGGGTATCCAGTTGTTGCGCAGATTGTGAATCTACCCACTTGGATCTGTAATGGTGAAGGTTTAGGTGGTGGCCATGTATTTGGGTGGTTACCAATTGTAAGTTCCTTCATTGATAGCATTGAGTACACTGGCTGATTTTCTGTATTGCACTTCTAATAGGTGAAGGAAGACAAGAAGTACTCTGGAAAGAAATTGTTTGCCAACTTCAAGAATTGTGTTTGGCATGAATTGTTCAAGAAGATACTGGATACAATATTGGAGTACTCAAAAACTGGCTATTGGGTAAGGTGTTGGGATGGCGTTGCACACTGACTTTTTCCTACTGTACTAATTCTTTCAGCTGATTATGAAGAGCAGTAAGTGGATATGCTGCCCAAAATATCATGAATGCAGGCTGACAATCTTTGTCACTCAGAGTGGTCATGGCACTCATATGTGGTGTGATGTCAAATCACCCTTGCCCCATTTGCCTTATCCATCACAACAAGATATCAAAATTCCCTGAGGACTGTGAATGTCATACCAGCAAGAACATTTTCAAGACATTACAGGAAGCACACTCACAGACCTGAGCAGACAGCAAGGAACAAATTCTGGTGAAACAGGGACTATGTGATGTAGATGTAAGTGGCTCATGCTGTTACCTTTGCTCTAGCTCTAATTGCCTCTAGAGTGCCTTCCAGGAGGTTGGGAACATGGACATTTATTGAGCGGTTGTGTTGGGATAGACTCCATGCCAACTGTGCAGGAAAATTTGGCAACCATTTGTGGGGAGAACTTTTGAGGATTCTTGAGACAATGGGAAAAGTTGAACAGAAGTGTGTCTATCTTGTTGCATGAAGCAGTTGTGCTGATAATTTACTAGTCTCAATGTGATGCCTTGTTGGCACAGTCTCAATCATTTCAAGGAAGCACTTTCAGTTTCATACACAGATGGTCAAAAGTTTGAGGACCTATCCAAGGTATTGTAAGTGTCTTACCAAGCTCTGATTTCGCTGACATTTCCTGAACAGATAATCATATTCACCTGTCATCTGACAACACAGTGGCATCCATTGCTGCCATGGCAGCATTGATCTCTGCAGACAGGTCCTCCATTGCACTGGTCTTGGACTTGGTAGCCCCATTGGGATTCCCAAACACAAAGTGATTCATCTCTGCAACAATGTTCTGGATGTGACGACCCATCCACTTGCTGATAAGCACTTGTTTGTATGCATGGAACACTTGATAGTAGTTAATTTTTGAGATTTGTCCACAGCCATTCCTTGGGAACTCTTTGTCAGGTGAAAGTAGAAACATACACTATAATGATGGGGATTGAATCAGTGACATGTGGTGCTGTATCGATGCAAGCAATCTACTTACCACCATGGCTGCCCACACAATAGACCCCAGTGTCACCAGCAGTGACCTTCCATTTCTGCCCATTTGTCCTTGGCCCACCATGACAAACAAAGCCTTCTGTGAGGGACATCTTGCCCCACAGTGCTCCCTTCAAAATCTTTTCCTCATCAGTGCAAACTTAGAATGGTAGTAGTTTTGAACACACCAGAGCAAGTGGCTTCCAGTTCATGAATGGTTTGCACACATCAACTTTCATGTCCTTGAACAGAAAAGGGAACCAGATGGTGAAGTGTTGGTTAGGAGTGCCGACATCATTAACACCAAGCATCTTGACAATTTCAGGAACTTCGAGACAAGATGCAACTGGCAGGAAGTGGTTCTTCAGTAGCCCAAAGATTTCATGGGCATTGTCATGTAGTTTGTACAGAATGTCAGAATGACCATTTTGCATTGCCTGTGTGAACTAGGATCTTGTCAGTACAGGAGAACCAAGCAACAAACATGAACATACGACATCAAGAAAGAAGTGTGTATGTCTCAATCTATATAGATGTTCCAGGAGAATCAAGTCAAGCTCTGTGACGAGACTGTGTTCCTCCACTGCAGCACTGGCATAACACTCAGCTGTTGCAAATATGGGAGTGGGGGACATAGACAACTCAGACATTGCATTAGTTAGTGGTGTTTGCAGCAAGAACATCTCCATCATGACAGCATACTTCTTCCCAAGCATCTTGATCTCACTATCATATGTGATAATGTCAGTGGGAAGGTCTTTCATAGACTGGCATGTTTTGTTTGCCTTGAGGACAGTATTCTTCTCCAGTAGCTCTCGATTGCGGGATTTCTCTACATCAAGTTGCAGTTGGATGGCCTTCAACACCTGTGAAGCAGTCAGTAAGAGCAGGAATTTGCATAGGCATGGGCACGAGCCTCTGCAAGACCACCACTGCCATCTCTTGACCCAGCTGACACACTCGTGGTCCATTGGTTACCTTCACCAGCATCAGCTTCATCTAAGTCAGCAAGTGCAGACAGAGAGCACCCACTGAGATTCATAATGGATGCACTCAGAACATGTAGACAGAGTGTAAGGGGACTGGGCAGTGGGGTCATCAATTGGTTTCTTGATGACCTTTTGAATGTGGGAGTGGTGCATATGCTACTGACCCTGACCAAAAAAATAGTGCACCATGATGCAGCCATGATGCCTCTTACCAAAGGGCTGGTGCATAATATCAAGTCAGATGAACCTCATGGCAAGGGAAAGTCACCATAGATCCATGGCTATGCCATCCTTACTGGGGAAAGGCATATTGAATTCAGCAGAGGATTGCAGGGGCTAGGAACAGACAGAACATAAAATAGTAGGCTGCTGCAGAATTGGGGCACAGGGAAGCAGCACAACAGAGGCCACTAGTGAGCACAGGATGGCAATGCAAATGATGGTGCATGTGGAGTCAACAAGGTACTGTTTAAACTGGTTAGAACCCAGGGTTAGCATGATGACCTAGATAACTTAGCTTGCCTGGTCATGGATCAGTTTGATTTCCTGGTTGAACACCTTCTTGGGATCATACCCACAGAACAATTCAGGGAATCTACATTTCGAGTTCAACAATAGATCACAGGGAAAGGAGAGATATGCACCAATTAGACAGACACTGGCATGACTGAGAATCTCCTTCTCATACTGGCTTCTAACATTCCTTGTCATCCACAGGCTCTCCTGTCTTGGCATCTACCCAACCAACATGTAGAGTACTGTCTTTGAGGTGGCTGTCAAAGTGCTTAATAGAGCCCATGATCTGTGCCATGTCAATGCAACCTTCAATAGTGAATTCTCCATGAGCTTCCATCTCCCACTGAGTCCATGAACTATGCCATGGGCTGACTTCAGCAAACCCAGTTATGATGATGACTTTTTCTGAGTTGATGATACCATGTGATTTGCTGAGTTCCTCGAAGGCAGAAGCAGGTTTGAGAGTAGGGAGATCAAACTTGAAGTTAGCACAAGGTACAACATTGACATTCTGGAGCACATGTTCTGCAAACCGAAGATGTTGAATGCCATCTTTTTCGTGGAGAAGGTGTGCACACCATAAGCTTTGACTTCCCAAGTGACTATATTGGTGGCATCCATCAAACCCATACTGCAGGTCCATCTGAGATGGGAGTTAGTTGTAGGTGCCAAGCTGGGTTTAATGAGTTACACACCCAATCACAGCACCAGCCAGGCATAGATATTCACCCCAGCTTTTGGAGTTCCAGCAGTTGAACAAGGTTTCAAGCGAGATCTTGGACTCTGAGTACAGGTCATCATTGCCAAAGAGACTGGTTTGGTGACAATGGCAAAATAACCAGGGTAGGCCAAGTAACGAGCTGACTGGACACTTTTTTGGTCTTGATGGCACCCAAGATCTGCAGCAAGTTGATGAGCATAATAATATGGTGAGCAAGCTCCAATTTGTTGTCCAAGCCATCAATCTCATGCCCATTCTCTGGAACAGCAGAAAATGGAAGGATGTAGTCGAGATCCATGCCAAGAGTAGCATAGATATAGTCGACAAGTGCCTCAACATCCTGCTTGGACCCCTGATTGAAGGGCATGACAGTGAGTGCTGAACCCTGGGCACTGAACCTTTGGTAAATGTCTTGGTAATACTCCACAGTGCAGTGACTGTAGCAGGAAGTGGTGATAACAACATGGGCGCCACTGGAAATGAGGCCCTTTAAGATCTCAACACCAATGGAACCTTTGCTGACACCAGTGAGGAGAGTGTTCTTGTCCTTGAAAGTCATTCCAGGCATGGCAATTTCATGAAGAATGGCATCTCATCAGCAGATATAGATGTGATTATAGAGACCTGAGGTCAAAGAAACTGAGAGGAAGAATGATGGTCATGATGACGTTGATGGGGATGGTCAGGGCCCCTCCTCAGCGAACAGACAACACCTTCATACAGAGCCTTGATATGGCTCTTCTGGTCCTGGCCAATTCTGGGTTATGAGTTGATGACTGTCCAGAGTTTGAGGACATCTTATTGAACCTTTTGAATGTTCATGGTAGAGATTGTGTCACCACTGGTCATTTCTTCCACATATGCTTCCATTCTGTGAACATTCACATGAACAACCTTGGGGTAGCACATACTCGCAAATCTCTGTGGTTCAAAGATGAAAAGATATTATTAGCAGTAAGGTAATAAACAAACCAAAGCAAGGAGGTGACTATGGTCAAGGGAAAATAACCTTGTATGCCATATGGATCTATGAAGTAATGAAAATGTTGTTATTTCGTGGGCTAGACAGCTTGTCGATCCTCAATACACTGATGATCAGAAGGAGGACTTGTCAGTTTCAAATGAATGGGTTTCAGAAGGACAACGTACAAATAGACCATTTCAGAGGTGCCCTGCCACTTTGTGCATCATTTGCACACGAAGGAACATGTCAGTGTCAATTGTGTCAACAATGAGATACTCGCCCAGTCTTGTATGATCTGGATATAGAAGGGCACCATGAATGATCGAGTGGACTGAAATAATTTCAGATGATCTGTGTGGTTGCACACATACCCTCCAGAAGTTGAGGTGGTTGTCCTTCCAGAGCCATTGCCCAATCAGCCAGGCATCATATGGCTGTAGCAAGGCCAAAGGGAAGGTTTCTTCACCAATGACACAATTGAACAAAAGTACAAGTCACCCAAATATGTCTTTCTCCTGAGTCTTGACAAGCACACAGTCATAACAAGGACATCCATGGAAGTTAGGATGGCAATGTAGATAATCCATGTACCGACACCAGTCAACAGTGGACTCAAAGTTCACTTTGACGAAGCAATATTCCATGATCTTTGGTGAATATTAGAGATACTGGAAACTGAACAAAAACAATGTTTCATCTTACCTTGTCATTCCTTTGGAATTGAATGGGCTTCCTGCTGGGAAGTGGCTTCCCTATAATGTTGAAGTGTTTATTGAGGAACTCACTGAGCTTTCCACAGAATCGATTGAATGCATTGTTGGTAACACTCTTCTTCTCAATGTCCTCGAACGTTAATGGTTCTTTCACTTCACTGCCAAACTTGACATGGAAAAACTCCTCCTCAGGTTTGTCAGTAATGGCTTTGAGGTCATCCAGATTTGTCGGTTTTCCAGTCAACCTGTAAGCATTGTATTTTGTAATCCTGCCATGAATATGTTCAAGAACCAGTCTGAGATGATTGACATTGAGAATCTACAGAAGTTTAGGCATGCTGAATACTAACAAACAATTTAGGACTTACTTGCTGAGCAATGTCCTTGAAGTTTGTTTTGTTTTTGATAATAAGCTTCCTTCAAGGGGCCATGCATTTTCTCATTTGGCTTCATGTTGAAATTGCAGGTGACACCCTTGGCTTCAATGTCATCAAACACATGCATATGGGTATGGTTCTTTGGAAAGTTCCAGTTTTTCCCTGTATGTTGCATCTTCTCTGCATATTTCTGGTCAGGAAACAGTGAGAGGAGAGCTACAACATCGAAAGCGGAGCTGACCTGAATCAATGAATTGAAAGTAGTGAGTGCCTCCCACCCAGCAGCAAGTGTGTGTGTCATATGTAATTTCGAGTGTGGTATACATATCAAACTTGATGTAAGCGCACAGACAGCATAACAGGAGGTAACCATCTTTTTCTGTCTTGTGGGGGAAGATGTTATGATGATACAGATGAGGTAGCTGCCACTGATTCCAACATTCATGAAAGTAGCTCTGGTCTGTCCACTCCAGATTCAGTCTCAATCACTGATGTGAACATTCACATCAATGCGACATCCACACCCACTCCTGGCATGGGCAACACCACCAACTCAGGCCACTGCCAATAGCAATAATGTGGAATCCAGTACTGGTACTACAGCATGGAATAAGTCTAGTGGATGTCATGGTAGAGGTAGATGGGCAAAGTAGCTACTAATTGTCATTACTGTTAGTCGCAAGCATGTGTACTGTAATACTACTTGTACGCAATTTCGAAAATTTTGTCTAAGTCTTGAAAAGCTCCTTAAGAGGTGTTGATGCTTGTGTAGGAAGATTGGTCACGTGGACTAATGGTAACACATGCTAAAGTAAGTCTCTAGTTGGCACTAGACTAACTAACACTGAGTCCTTGGGTTCAAATCCTGATCAGAGCCATAAAAAATACTTAGTAATACTTACTAGTTAGATTGGGGATGGGTTGTATTAGTAAAGATTTCCATGTAAGGTGATACTAATAGCATAGCATGTAGTAGACAAAGATAAGATAGATCAAAATCAAAATCAAAATCAGAATAGAATAGAATTGTGGTCAGGTGATAAGATAAGATTACAAAAGGTAATATAATATAAAATTTTTGTTGCCTTAGTCCTGAAGTGTATTGTGATCCTTGGCTCTCAGTTGCAATACATTGCAGGTCCAATTATGGTAGGATGGCAGTGCCCAGGGTCTGGATTTTTGTCACATGACAAGGCTATCATAACAATCATTATAATTGCATTGCAATGTAGGGGTGATGGCACTATGTTTGTACTATTGACCCCCAAATATTACCTTGCTATGCCATAGCAATGCCTATTGTAAGTCTGATTACATAGAAAACTTTAGTATTGCAATGCCATTTTAATTACACATTTGATTGTGGGCATTGCAATCGCTTGTGATGCATTGAAGCTAATATACAGATTTTCTGACATTTCGCAGGTACCACATTTGGATGACCATTGAATGAAGGTGGTGACATTCATGTTGCTACTGATGGGAATTTTCACCATTGTCATCAGCACTCAGCAGGCAGTTGTCCCCCTTTCTACAAGCCCACATATTTCATTCCCAAGGCTCAAGTGGATGAGGTGGGATTGTTAGGATTGGATGGGCATGTAAGTGGTCCCCAAGACAACATCATGTTATAGTTCCTGATGAAGTGATTAATCAATGTGAGGCATCATATGAAGCAGCTGATGGCAACAAGCAGAAGGCCATGATGGATTGCTTCAACGACACTGGCATCATGGCTCTCATATGCCATCACGACATCCTGCTTTTCCTTGCAAACATTGACACCCCTGGCAAACAACAGAAGTATAGTATTGCACTCCTGGAACACCTCTTTTCCCTCTTGCCATCAGCAGCAACTGTTGTTGTATTGTACAACATTGGTTGCATTCTTGATTGTTCATTATCCAAGGTCAGCAAGCCACTTTTTACATCTACACATGTGCTGATATTCTTGTGCAAGTATGACATTCTAAGTGACAGAATCATCTCTCACCTATGCTTTGCAACAACTGCTATGCATGCCTACAGCCATGAGTGGGCTTGCCAGCTTACTTACAACCCACACATTATTAACAGACTAGGTCTTTCTGATGGGGAGGGTACCAAACACCTTTGGTCATGATTCATCAAACTTATCAGCATTGAGTGAGCCTCATTGGTAAATCTAATTCTTTATTGTAGTTGACAAGAACTTGAAATATTCGCTTCAGCATGAATGGCAGATATGGTTAATTGATTGGCATGTGGCTGCCATCGGACTGGGTATGCATAGTGATCTTGGGGACTGGATTTGATGCTGACTAAAGGAAGGAATTTCTGAACAAGGTTCTGAGGCACAGAACATCATCAGTGACTGTGGTATTGGTATTCCAGAGTTGCAGAAGCAGTGGTCTGATCAATGCAGTGTGCAGCTTTCAATATGTGCACATAAGTCTCGCATCATGGTACTGAAGTCCCCTGCCAACTCCCATTTTTTTAGATGTGCCAGCATGGCTGAAGAAAGAATTAGACACAGTGCTTGTACTGCAAGCCGATGTGGAAGCCTCTGACAGAGCCCTACAAGCTGTGCACATGATAATCATGCAGGGCACGGTGCAGGATACCCTTGATGCTCTCGAGAGTCTGGAGCGCAGCCACAACCAACTTCTAAACAAGATAGATGTGTTGTATGCTTCTCTCAACATCCCTGACAAATTTCTGGAACTCCATGGAGTTAACTTGGAGTTTGTTCAGATGGTGTGAGATTTGAAGATAAGTATTCAGAAGCACATGATTGGCAGCTTTTTCGAATGGGACAAACTCAATTGTGCAGTAGGGGGCGACCAGAAGGCATTGGGTAGGTGACATATACCTTGTCATTGTTACATTAACCAAGTTGGTCTAGGCACAAAACTCCATCAGCAGACTTGAAAAGCAATCGCAAAACGCCAGCCAGCCCTCATGTCTGCCATCTGTAAATTTAACAAGTACTGTGAACATTTCGCTGAGCTATATGATGCATCTTCTGGCATTCCCTTCCATCACCACTTCCAATGAAGCTTGCAGAATTATGGAATGACCAAAGCCTCCTCGAAGATGTGTGGGTAACACCTTCTGTTGGAGAAATCCCATGGTGGCTAGAAGATGTTGATGTCAGAGAAGGCATCAGGGCAGTTCTCAAGAGTGATCATTGCCTCGAAGAACAGCAGCATCTTGGGATGGAGGCTGACCATATGTGCCAATTGTTTGGTCATGAACTGTGTGCTATTGAGCTCATGATATGATTGCCAGAAAGTAAGTCTGGGAATGGTTTATTGGCTTCATGGACTAACACTGTGTAGACTCTAAGTACTATTTAGTCCTTCAGCAACATTGTGAATCCTTGGCAAAACTGCAAGAAAGGTGGCCCAACCTGCTGGCCTCTGCTGTTTGCTATGCAAGCCATGCCTGCAATGCCATGACTGTCACTACTTTGCTCACATGCACTGCTGCTGCCCCACTCGTTTTGCAATGGCTCCCTCCTGTTCTATGTGATGTACCTGCAGGTGCTTTGAGCGAAGATGATGGTGGACTAGCTCTTGATCCTGACCCTATAGAAGACATCCTGTGTTATGCCTGAGCTGAGTGACTTTGTCAAATGGACTAGTCACAAGTGGCATGAGGGGGAGTCTATGGGCTGAACTTATTGTAACCCCTATGGCTCAGTTATCACAAAAGTACAACAAGGGATCACTTCCACTGGTGAGTTCTTCTGAGATCACAATGGGGAAGGGAACAAGGACAAAAGCAAAGGGATGAAGCTGAGTTGCAAGCTATCAAAAAACTGGGGATACAGAGTATGGTACAGCTGTATAAATACCTCAGGACAAGAGTACCATACAGGTTGTGCCAAGGCAATGGCAAGTATCTGCAGCAGTAAACAATGAAGCAGAAAAGAGTCATACAGTGTCATATGATGGGGGTAGCATAGGAAATGAAGGCTATACCAGCCACACAATCAATGCACAGCAGGGAGCCTGACAACAGAGCAAGAAACAAGCAATCAGAGCAATATACATGAGTCAGAGCCAAAACATGAAATAGACCATTCATCAGAGATGGGGGTGGAACACCAGATCACCTACAGGTGCACAGTATCAGGGGGCATTGGAAATACCATGACCACCAGAGATCTGAGCTGTCCTTTGAGTGTAGACACACCCAAGATGATGACAGTTATTAGGGATGTGACAAGACACATGATACACATGATTGTGAGGAAACAAAAAAGGAAAGACCCCTGACATGAGCACAACATCCTGGACCCTGCTCAGCTTGCTTTGGTGGATGTTTTTGAAGATATGGAGTCACCACTGACCACTAACGAAGAGGACCTGGGCAATGCTGAAGGTCAGAAGGACTCTTTTAATGTGGATGTTCTCTGGAAACTCCCCTTCATAAGTCCAATCTGAATATACTCGATCCATTTAGTAACATTTCACAGACCCCAACCATTAATACAATGGATATTTATAGCAATGTACTCATCGCTTCTGGCATTTATGTGAGGTGTGTCTGAGAAACACAAGATGGATTCCCCTGTCAAACCTTTGAGGCAAATGACTATGAGCATCTCACTTCCCTGACTGCCTGACTCAATGATACCTGCATCAATGGTTGCTCTGCACTTCTTTATTCGGAATTTCAATCATCAGCTGCCACACAATGTGCAGTATTCTTGACACATGACCTCCCATGTATTCAATATCATGCTGAAGACAATGTCCTGTGGCACAATACTTCATGGACCCAGTACTGGGAAAAAATGATGTGGATCCTCCCAATTCACTGGCCATCCCCTGTTGGGCATTGGGCTCTCTGTGTCATCAAGTTCCCTTCCAAGCAACTCCCTCTCTTTGATAGTCTCACAGAACAAAAGCCATGGAAATGGGACATAAAGGTAAGCAAATATTCCTGTACTCTGTGCTTACTAACTGTCCACAGGATATCTCCAGACTTATTTCTCGCATGTCCTTCATTGCCTCAAAGAAGCTCGGAGTCCCTCAGAGAGATTTGGGATCCTGGTCTGCACACCCAATTATTGTAAGCACCATCGATTATACTTGACAACTATTTCTCAAGAAATATACTAGTGCGAGCCTTTGCAGTCCAATGGGTATGACTGTGGTCTTTGGGTCTTAGCTCAAGTTGCAGCGGTCCTACGAGGTTATGATATTACCAATCTGTGCGAGGGAAACATGATTGCATTTCATTGTTACCTCCAATCCCTCATACTTAGCATTCTATTATCTGGCATGTAACTATGTCAAGCTGTTGTGATAAGGGTTTCTGCCATTCTCCAAAACCAATGCCTCCCATGTGAAATAATATATTTCTTGGGCTCACCACTGCAACCAGCATGCTGCCACTTGGTTGTTGTGGCCTCCAGACACACAACCTCCTACAATATCAATTACAACAGACCATTGCATGATTTGCTCCTTGAGATCATCCACCAGCTCAGTGAAGATCAGCTTGTGGTCACCTTCTGCAAAGTGAGTCACATGTTGGACCTTTGATTTGTTCAACAGTTGCATGCATTGCCCAAGCATGACATCAATGAGATTTTGTGTGAACCTCACCTCTTGTAGTGTCGAATCCAGTTCAGAATCCATGTATGGAGGGTCCTCCTCCCATCTAGGGAGGTCTGATTCATCCAGAGCATCAGCACTCCAAGCCACTTCCAGAAACAGAGATGACATTGGTAGAGACTTGGTTGCATATGCAATAAGCAATGGTGACAGGGCTGGAACAGATGAAATGACATTAGGATGGATGATCTGCGATGCAGGTGGTTGAGTTGTATGTGTAGCCTCTTTACTGATGTGTCATCCCACCCGCTTCCTGTACGCATGGTGATTCTGATCCGAACAGAGTGGTTTGCCTCTAAAATAAATCTTGGTTAATCTGCTGGACATTAGGCATGTGTTTTGGTTACCTGTAGATGCATAGCAGGCCCTCTGCCTACATAGAGCTTCCTGTCTTTCTTTGAGGGCCAGGTATTTTGGTATGTGCCCCATTTGAACTACCTGAGGAACAAAGTATGACTATTCAACTCTGAAACTGTGCCAGTTCAATGTACTATGTATGTACTAAGCGTGCATATTCACTCATCCTAGTAAACAACATATGCTCATTTTGGTGGCATCCAACAGGGGGGGGAATACTGAATTAATTCCAACTCTTAATGCAGCTGAAAACGCCTTAGTCGCTGCACCAGCTATGTTTTGCATTCAGTAGGAAGTTTATTCACATCATAATTGGCTGTTGTAGTCAGAGCTACCCCTGTACACCTTCACAAGGTGTCTAGCTCACTCACTGCTTGCTCTTGACTACAATACTCAATGTTCCACAATGACCACTCCATTCCTACCAAGGCTCAGTCTAACAAATGATCCTGTCTACTATTCATGCATACTCAAGAACGAGTACAGTTGGTGGGGTATCCAGAGGCTCTCCGCACCCTCTGCATCCTCCCTGCCACAAACTCTGCTGTCACGATCTGAATCTAACCCATCAAGTTGGAAGCAAAGTGTTCCCTTGGCTTCTGCCCAAGTTTTGGGCTATCATATTGCTCAGATGGGCATTCCAATCCTCGGGAGATCTTTGATGATTGTCATTCTGTATAAAGGCAGTGTACCAGACCTAGTTGTGGCTCTTTCCCCCCACCCTTCATTTTTTGCACCATTGAAAGCTTTCATGGATACAGTTAGGATCATCTCTCTTTTCTACACCATATCTGATTTCTTTCTTCAGGAGAATGTACACAACACTAGAGGTAACCCTCCGGTGATCACCTTACCATCACTACCAGCATGCCTGGATACTTCTTCCATGCATCCAGAGCCATCTGCAAGTACTCACAATGACTTTGTTGTGGTACAGGTTGGAGGTGGTTGCTGCAAACCCACACTGCCATTCGTGACTCCAACATGACTCCATCAAAAAGTCAAAGCAACTACTCGAGATACTGGGTTGGTTCACAAAGCTTCACTCCACTGAAGCCATATGCTCGCGACTGACAGTGATGACAACCCATTCCTCTCTGAACCCATCGCACCAAACACTCAGGCAGATACTTCAATGAAAAATCCAGGCAAGTCACCTGCTGTCTGAGGTTATCATGTACTAATTCAATATAGTCACTGAGGCTGATGTCACATCTTGTCCTTCCAGCACAGGTATCCTGAAGCCTGGACGCTCTGTTCCCCCTCTCAATACCCTCATGGGAGCGCTGTCCAAACTGCCTCCTGAACAATTGTCATCCATTGCGAATGTGCAGACTGATACTTCCCTGACAAAAAATCCAGGTAAGTTGTGCACCTTTTGGAATGGTTCTGTAACTAATTCAATTTAGTTGTTGAGGGTGATTACACACCATGGCTGGCTGGGCCAGCTGTTTCGAAGCATGGACACTTTGTCCCACCTCTCAGTACCCTCGCAAGAGCACCATCCAAACCTCCTCCCAATTTACCAGTACCTTCCACACGCCCTTCCACCACCCTCGCAAATGAGGTCGCAAAAGAGGCTCCAGTGCCAGCTACTGCTTCAGCTTTGACTCATGCGCCCAGTTTGGCCCCATCACATGCCTTGGATAGATTGGGATTCGAGCCTGTGGAGATCACTGAAAATGCACCTGTGAAAGTGAGTCCCTACCTTCCCTCTAGACAAGCATTTCGATAATTGCTGTTAGACAATACCTTCAATGAAGACTGTTCTGCCTTTTCCTTTTTCATCATTTTCCTACCCAGAGTCACCCACTCCTCACCATCATGTTTCCCCCCATCCACTGTGCTCGGCTACATTCTCTTGTGAGCATACTTCTGAGATTGAGAGTGATGAGTGTGGTGAGGATGGCAGCAACCCTATATATACCCACAGAAGGTTGCCAGCTGCCACCATGGATGAGTTCAATGAAAGTTTTCAGCATGTCAATGATATATTCAGTAAACTTGGTGAAAGTCGAGGAATGCCATGGCAACAGGTCAGGGACTGTTACAACTGTCAGTATTCATGCTCAAACCTACAAAATCTCTGGAACCTTTATTCCACCTATTTTGCGAAGCACATACGGACTGAACTTGCTCAGCTCCCTGCACCTGAGGCAGTCCAGGGGACTCCATTGGTGGATATGAGGAGAGCATGCGATTCACGTTGCAAAGCTGAGTTCCCCTGATACCTACATTGACATCCTGGAAACATGGAAGGAGGCTGAGGAGCTTGAAGACATTGGAGGTATAGTTGCCCGATGCCAGCAATTGTTCAATGAGATGATAAAGAACATTGATCACAATGTCAGTATCTCTTGGACATACCATTCATGGAATGTTTTGATCTTTCATTGGTTTCAGTTTGCTGCATTATCAAAATCACATGTGTTTGAGGGTTGCTATATTTTGGCAGGTAGGGTCATCAACCAAGATGCCAGTCTTGCCCATGTGTTCACAACTCCTGGTGCTGATGGGGTATGTCCCTGTTTCCTGTGCTTTCATGTCAAATGCTCATGCTTACAGTTCTTCCCTTCCTGGTACCATGCTGATACACATGAGATCATTGGGCATTTCAAGGCACACATATAGTAAGTCATATCACTGCTTTCTCTATTACTGTCTGATATGTTATTTAGTAACAAAGTTTCTCTGGACTCCATGACTGAAGCCTTTGGGGGTACCAATGATGTAGATACTGAGGTCATTGTCAAGAAAGGAAAAGGAAAGCAACATGCCATTACCATGGATGCAGAGGTTGTTGCTGAGAAAGGAAAGCAACAGCTTGTTAATGAGAAGAATGACAAGTCCAATAACAATGATGAAGTCAAATTTATTTGTTTGGATCATGAGCAAGTTAAGCAACTCCTCAGGAAGCATATTGGTAAGCCTTTCACATTTCCTGTGCGATGCCATTTAACATGTCATTTAGGAAGTTTTGGTTGGAAATGGGCATCACAAAAATTGTTCCCATGGCAGTCACTCCTCAATGATTTGGCAGGCAGTGCTTTGGTCTTGATGAACTGGTCAGTGGGTGTTCTATTCCCAGGCGAGGAATGCTGCAGAAAGGGAAATGGGAAGGGTATTTCGGACTTAACCCTCACTGATTGCTCGAAGCTTGTCACTGCTCTCAAGGACCAAAGTACCAACTGGCTTCATCTTCAGTGCTTGCCTAAACTGAAAGGTACATTCTTAATTCTCCTAGTGACAGTGGATGCTAATGTCATCACAGACATGCTTCTTTCATTGAAGAAACCAGTCATCAATAGTGCCCCACCATCTCATGACTCTAATCTTACAAGGGGCAAGCATGTGTTCATGAACTCCACCGTGGATTACCTTGGACCCAGCCAATTGCCTAGCATCACTGCTACATGTGTCAAGAGGAATAAGAGCAAGAAAAGAGCTTGGTTTGAAGTTGATGGGATGGAAGGATTGGGCAATTCTGACAGCATTGAAGAGGTCTCCATGGACAAGAAGCCTAAATCCAGCACCACCCCTCAGCCAAAGGCACTTGGTGCTCCTCAATGATCTTTGAAGTTGAAAGCCACTGGAGCTTCTGAAGTCATAAGTCTCTCAAGTAGTTCACAATCTCAGTCCAAGTCCTCTGGTGACAACTTTCATCCTGTGGATGCCCAGGATGATGACAATGTGGCCAGTGATGTTGAGATGGAAGATGGTGAGGCTGCCAGCAAGGCGAGGTGTGTTGCAGATATGTCTGACTATGAGCAAGAACCACTTTCCAACAAGCACAAAGTAAAGACATCTAAGCAAAACAAGGTGAGGACATCAAAAGCTTTGAAGAGTAGCAAGGCCAGCTGTCATATTCCATCATTGCTGATGTATGTTTCATCAGATGGTGGTCAAGTGGATGGTATGGCAGAGCAGAGTATTCATTCTGATGTTCTGGAGCCTCGCAAGGGCTCCACCAGCACTACTGAAGAAGTTTCGTCCCTCCTGTTATGTCAGATCTCACTGATCATATCATCACCGAAAGCACTCAACTTGATGTTCCAGAGTCTTGCAAGGGGACTACCAATGTCATGAAGGTGCTTGTCCCTGCTATGGGTTCAGACACCACTTGTCACATTGTCACCACTGGCTCTGCACAGAAAACTCTTCAACCTACCACTTCAGACCTTCACAAGGCATCTGCTGACACTGCAAACCTTACCTCAGTTGTCACCATTGGCTCCAATGCTCCTGGAGTTACATGCAGCATTTCCATTTCTAACATCACTGATTCCCATGAGACTCCCAGCATTCTGTGCAACACTTCTGTCCCTGTTTCTGTGATCCCCAGCCCCGATGAAGCATCAGATACTTCTACTATTTCCAACAGCACTTCCACTTCAGTCCCTGAGGCCACACAAGTACCCAATGAATCTGATGCAAAACCAAATGCAGGTAAACTCCATCACTTTCAACATTACATGCACACTGCTAATGATCACTTATTGTCCTGGCTAGCTCCCTCCACCCCTGTCACTCATGCTGCTGCTGATCTCTTCATCGGTGAGGATGATGGGCCAGATGGAGGGTTCTTCTCAGGCTATCCTAGTGGCCCTGCCACCAGAAAAGGTTCTCTGATAACACATGCCAAGTGCCCAGCACTGCATCTCATGCAAGGTCCAGCCCACCTAGGAAGTGACCATGAACCATTTGACCTTCAGCTTCATGTGTTCCCAGACAAGCCAGAAATTCATACCACATCTGCTAGGCTCTGTGCAGCTGAGGAAGGATGTCTACCTACAATGGAAAGTGAGGCTGACAGTGCTTGGCAAACTGGTCCACATTCCCTTCATGGTGCATGTTTGAGTTTGACCTTGGGCCCTGGTGGCCCACATATTGCTTACAATGTACCTCACCCTCTCCATGCTACACAGTTCAATCATCTATTGCAGCAGCATACTTTTGCTGATCAGCTCCCTGGGCCAGGTATCCCACTGTGGCAGATGCCAGGGGTACCTTATGATTACAACACTGTCATGCATGGAGGATGGTATAACCATCCAGCAGTTCCCTATCCTCCCCCATATCCGCCACCTGGCTGTCCATCTTACAGATCATACATGGAGGGTATGCCATCAACCATGCCACAGCAACAGATTAGTAATGTGGGACATCCCAACTACAACATCTAGCATGTCACTCTCACTCATGTGCCAGATTACTACTTTGGCAGGGGAGGGTATGAGGATTCTCACTTCTGCCATGACCCTGCTCCCATTGGCCAGACTGGTACTGTCCCAGAAGTTGCTGTTGGTGCTACTCCTCTTCCACCACGTCCTGGCGACACCACAAAGTCTGAGTCTGCTGCTGAGTAGGCTGCCATTTTAGCTTCTGGGGCTTGGTGTTTTTCAAGCTTATGTGTTGCCATCTGCATACATCTTCCTTACTGTTCTCGAGAGAAAACTTAAATTTTTTTTTTTACCAAATGCTTCTGAGATCTCGTGCACAGTACATATTGGTTGTCAATACAAATTGTGTTCTGTATCCCTCCAATACAATTAGTTAATGCCCTGCGAATCGTTCTCATGTGATCAAGGTCAAAACTAACTGAAGAAAACATATTGTATGAGATGACTGCCACAAAGAACACAAAAAAAACATATGGTTTGAACAACAAAAAAAAACTCCAGCGAAACCCTCTAGTGCAGTCTCTCGGCAACGTCAGTCTACTCCAGTGGACCGCTGCCAGTGGCTCTTAAGAGCTACTCACGAAGGTTTGTGGAGGCGAGACCCTCAGCAAAACCTCTCGGAAACATCAGCCTACTATGGTGGACCGCCGCCAGTGGCTCTTACGAGCGACTCACGAAGGTTAGCAGATGTTGCCTTACATACAGTATCTAGGGAATTCATTATGGCATTGGAGGCTCGCAGATGACACAACTATTTTTGGAATTGGCACGAGCCTCGCCCTGAGGACAGCATCTATATGACCTATTCTCACGTACACATAAACTACATCTAAAGACCGTGGGAATGGCCAAAAACTGCTGCCAAGGGTGTGGTTGTTCATACAGTGGATCAGTAAAATGGAGTTTGCTCGAGAGAGCCATGTAGATGATACAAGTCTCGCTAATTTACAGAATTGAATGCTTAATACCCACTCCGCGGAACAGCACACATCAAATTCTGGTTTGTTCTTCGTGCCGAGCGCCTGGTACTCTCTGTTCACGTTTTCGCTCCTCGATAAGCAGCTTATGTTTTGAGTGCCTGCTTCTGCATCTGCCATGATTCTGGAAAGAATACGAGAGGTGGGTTCAGTATTTGTGCTAATGTACATGCCAATTCACAGCCTCACCGTCGGAAGTGAGCCTGATCATCGGTCGGCAACTCAGCTAGTGCGTCGTTGAAGACTCGGGAGATTTCCTCCAAGAACTGGTGCCGTGATTCAATAGCTTTGGTTCGTGCATACGTCCAATCACTCATCTTGACTCGATCCAACAGGTTACACAGCTTGTCGTTTTCTAGAATACTGTGCAGCACCTGATTAAGGTCAGGAAGCAGTCGTGGGATGGTCTATGCGATCAGCCTACCTTGGCTGGTATATGTCCTACCTCAGAACAGAGTCCATAATGGCAAGTCCACGGGATCTGTCCCAGCTCAATTCAGAAGCCAGTGAACACGAGTCCATCCGTACCCTTCCGGTGATATCTTCTTCAAGAGCAAGCTGTTCATCAATAATCTCAGTAGCATCGAGTGTCGTCTGGAGAGCCTTGATCTCTTCCACCATGTTACGAATATTATCGTGTCTTGACGCCGTGGTTTGTGGGCGAAGATTACTAGTAAATTCGACAATCGGTTTGGACATTTCATATTCCGTGCAGCTTCTGCCCAAATCGCCCTTTCTGAACCCATAGCACGGTGGCATTCAGAATGATGAACAGGGAATAAATTAATACTCACAATGGACGAAGTACATGATAGGTTTGAGTGTAGATAGCGGCCATCTCTTCAGGCAGCTAATAGTCACCAGGGTTAGTATGCGGTACTATTGTCAATATTGGTAATACATGCCTTAATGCCGAGGGTTTTTGATATGGCAGCAATTTCGCGCTGTATCCCTTGCATTTGCTGCCCAGGAGTTCCATACACATTGTTCATCCTTCTGCACAGTGTTTTCACTAAGCCGCTGATAGAGGAATCTGGTACGACTTCAGGGGTTTCCGAATTCAGTTCTAAACCAGTGGAAAGCTTCTTGAAAAACGTTATTTTCCCAACCTGGGTTTCGGGGTAGACTGAGTGTAACGTTACAAGTTCAGGAAATACGCGCACACATATAATTTTCAAAGTGCTCAATCCCGAACATAGCCGAGAAGTACTTGATTGCGTGCTTCGTTGTCATCTTACTGTTCTGGCTACCAAGTCGCAAGTATACCCACGGAATCGAAGCCTCCTACTCACCAGGGATCGGTTGTCACCTGTTAATGTAGTGGGGCAGGACTGAAAAAGCAACGTTTAAGGGCATGCTGGACAGAAAGCAAGGAAATGTACCCAATTTAGCAAGGTATAAAACAGTTCCCTGCATTAGTTACCCTTCAACTATTGGCAGAGGAACAGGAAAGGGGAAAGGAGGGTGAGAGCCAGACAAGCACTTGCCTGTATGATTGGATAGAGCTTTGAAGTAAATGGTAGAGTTTGTAGTAGTTCTGACTGAGTAGTCAAGCTGATATGAGTAAGTGGAATGTGAATTCACTGAACTGAGGGGTATAGGCAGAAACCCCTTGGTTTATATACATGTAGGAATGTGCACAGACCATGAGTGCATATGGTAAGTAAAGTGAGTACCTACTATGTATAGTAAAGAATAGAATGGAACATCATAGAATAAAGTGGAGCTAAGTGGAGTAACTTAGCAAGCATGACATCATATGAGTAAAACTCATCTAGTAAGCAAGTCTAGAACCAGTAATGAGAAACACTGTTAACCAGTATTTCCAACATCAACAGCAGCTAAACAGGACCCACTGAATTTCACTGAACAGTCTCCACCATGTCTCATCAGTTTCGTCCTGATGCCAAACTCGAGGCATTGCCAACAAGATGATGAGAGAATTCCTTCAGAAACAACACTAGCTGTTGGTTAGTTTGGAAGTGATAGGCCAATAGGTTGATGTAGCTCAAGCTTAGAAAGAGTTTTCCCGAAAGCCCATATGGTCATGCTGTCTTCTGCCATGGTCCTACTGTTTGTAGTGGAAACTCTGCACTCTACTGGATCACATGCCTGACCCAAATTTGCTGCAAGGTCTTGGAGGATGTTGCCATTGCACCTGAAAGTTGGATTGCAGTGGCTGTAGTCACAGAGCTATTTGCACTACACTTTAGAAAATTGTTGGGGAAGGGGGGAGATTGTTACCCACTTCAATCCGAATGCCAGGGAAATGAATAAGCTGCATTTGAACCCCATCCATGTACAACCCATACTTGGGGAAGGATGGGTTAGCCTCTTGCATAGGTCCCTGAGTTTCAATACCATTCCAATCAGTCTGCAGAGATGTGAACATTGAAGAATAAACAAAAACAGCGAGCAGGACACTCATGGTCGAAGGTTTCTGTGCAAGTGGACCATGGCAACAACCAGTGCAGAGTACAATGTCAATGGCAACTGTGCAATTGCCCCTGTACCAGATGCCCCACATCACCCTCACAGCCCAAACCAATTGGGGGAGATGAGCATGCTTGATGAAGCTTGCAGTATTGAAATCCATATGAGCAGTAGTGTCATGGCCTGATATACTACGAGTGAGATCTGCCTGCCTGGTCAACAATGAACCATATGCTTTCTTGGCATAATCTTCCCATGGTGTGAGGTGGCTTTCATTGTAGATGACATGGGTCCATGGGTTCCTGAGGTAGTACCCAAATCCCACTGCAAAGCGAATGTCAGCTTCATCATTGGCATAGATTATGACAATCAGGTCGTTTGTATGCAACAGTTTCATGGAGTTTCCAACAATGCTACATGGGAAAGCACTGCACTGCTTGAAGCTGTAGAAGGAGATGGTTTCATCATCAGGTATGAGAGTACAACATGACTGTGACTCATCCTGATAATAAGAAAGAAAGACTTGTTTGAACTGGGGAAACATTGGAACTTCTCCTGTTGCCCCCAAAAATCTGTAATAGCAGGTGGAGTCAGATACCAAGTCAATTGTCATCAGCAGTGTCACACACCAAAGGTGTTTGGTGAGGTGGACATGGATACAGCTGATGAATGGAGATGAAGACCATAGCCCTCATGCAAAGAAGGACAGCCAGAAGTGTTGGCAGTCATCCCTCACACAAGAACAAGTCATCAGTGCCAAAGAAAAAGAAAGGGAGCAAGTTAAGTGCTGGCCAAAATTCTTAAGCACCCATGTATGGCATTCCAGTTTTTGGCATATCTCTGCCATTTCTGCAGATACCGAGACCATTCCCACACTTGCTTGTAGTGCTCAGCCATGTGATCTTACCTTCCAAAATTGGAAAGGATTTGCACACTCCACATGTTTCTACAGCACTCCCTCCAAAAGACACTCATTTTGCTAAATTCTTCTGATATGGCCACCTCCATGTCAATCATTTCACTTGTCCCCTTTGCTAGGGACAATGGCTACATATATCTACCAGGAGTTCCTACCAGCTTCCATCCTGAAGCATCCTGGTACATCCCACCCTTGTCTGTGCCCTCTCAGCCCATCCAGCTTGGACAGTGTGTTCTTTTTGTCAGTATGACCTCTAGGAGGATGTTCTTTGGTCACCTCAGGTCTGTCATTTGCTTGGAAAGGACTTATGTGGTTGTTTCAGTCTCTCCAGTCCAAGAAGCATATGGATCCTTCCTCCCTGCTCCCTGCAATGTCTTCATACCAGTCTCATCCATCATTCTTCCAAGATTGTGACAGCTACAGTATAATCTACTGTTCCCCACTCTCCCTGATTGCATCCATGACGAGTATGATGCACATCTTGCCTCCTTGTTGCAAGATACAGCAGAAGACACTCCCCCTTCATCCTCTCTTCCAACAGAGCCTCATTCATGAAGTTTTTATTTGCTTCACTGAGAGGATGGTTTGGGGGGGAAAGTTGCAATCCCCTATGCTCCTGTCACCCCACAGACCCCCAAAACAGCCTCCCCCTAATGCAATTCCAGTGTGCTTTCCCAGTTCCTGACATTACTTGACTCATACTTTGATGTTCTGACTGTCTTTGACTCACCTATTGCCAATACTTACCAATCTTTTGACTTTGCTTACTGATTCTTCACCTTTTGGCTTGCTAATCCTTACCAATGCTTACCAATGCTTTCCAAGACGATTACCCATCACTTACATTCCTTACTCATCAGTTACCAATCACTTACCAAGTGTTTGCACCTTGTTTTCCCAAGGCAACACCCCTGTACTGTATATAAATCACTGTACTTAGATAGCAAAAAAAAAAGAAGACATCAGAGAGCCCCTCTTGCTCACATTTTATCATCACTCAGTAATTCATTCAGCAGCTTTGATAGTTGAGACTTTATTAAGGGTCTAACTATCATCTACTTTGCTTATCCTTGTCTGTCATCAATATACTTCACTCCAAGCCCTCCCTGAGCTCAGTGCAGCTTAGGACATTGAATTAAGTCATCATCCATCCTTCTGTAGGCTGACAGCAGTCTACCCTATCACATTCCTGCTCCTTCTTTGTCAGGAGCACCCCCAACCCTCAGCACTTGTCTTTGAGTGTTGTAGCTTGCAAAAACCCTCCCAAAGGACAGGTTCTACCATTTAGGTACTGCATAGGCACACCACCACTCGCTCTTTTTGTCTTTTGTGTTGGTTTTGGTTGGTTTTCACCACTTAACCACACTTTGACTCACAGCATGGCAAGCAAGTCATTCCATGCCATCCTTGGCTGTCATTGTGCCTAGCTGGGATTCACCAACATCTTCCCTGGCAGTCTCACCCCCACCTAGATTGTTGCTGGCATCTGCACAAATTCCACAAACTGTGCCATCTCCCATGGTTCATGCATATATGGATGAGCAGTTAGATGGTGCAGCAGCCTCTGAGCCACAGCCCATCCCAGCTATATCATGGCAACCATCCCCCCAGCCTATGGCCACCAATGCTGCTGCTGGTGAGTGCCATGTCATCTCTTGTTGCTGCCAGTATTAAGTGTATCAGCTCACTTTTCAGCACTGCAACATTTCTCCAGCAACTTGGGTATACAAGGACTTCATGACGAAGGGCCAATTACAACATGTAAGTAGTTTTATGATATCCCTTGCATATATATCAATCATCCAGCAGTGGAAAAAGCACGGTGGCTTGTGGTTCTTCTTGCAGGACTGACTGATGAGCACCCACCCCATCTTAACACCACTACTGATGGGCCAATTGTTGTGGCCTACAACCACTACAGCAATATATTGGTGGAATCAAGCATCCAGTTTCACCTGTTGCTTGCAAGGAGAGCACAGCTGGAAAGGACTTAGCAATATATACAAGATTTGATGACCAGTGATTGGGATGGTGAGGATGAATTGGAACTGGATGAGGATTTGTTGTAATGTAGCCATTGGTTGTCAAAATGTAGTATCACATTCCATGGCCATGTAAAATACAAATGCTAACATCACCTACGTTTCTTGGAGGGACTAGGAGTAGGAACATCATCATCAGGCTGCTTTAGTGCCTTCTGCATCCATTTTGATTGCTGCATACCCCTCACATTGTCTATGCCAGTCCAGTGCATGGGTACTAGGATTGAGAGATAAATCGAATCCACAATTCAGTGACCACAGCACAAGTACTGACTCATTGATGGAATGGGCAACTTGCACTTTGAATCTTCCTGTTTATGGTCTCTCCTGATAGTTGTTGGCACTGCTAAAGGATCTGCCAGGTGGACTGAATCAGGTGAATCAATGCAATGGGCATCAGGCACAGGTTGCACAGGGCTTGTGATGCCGCCCTCAACCTGCCACAAGGCATTTGATGGTTCCTTGCTGATGGCTGAAACATGTCAGCCATTAATGTCAACAATATTCAGCTGTTGTGATCCTGCTGGCTTACCAATTGGCTGGCAGGTGTTACCCTCAGCCACTTGGCATCTGGCAATCCACTGCTGGGAATCCAGCAACGGTACTGCCTCTGTGGCATCTTCATCCACCATGCTTGTGCCTGTACTGTCATTTCTGTTTGACAGCAATGTTGGTGGAATTTGACAGAGATTGGATTCATTGTCAGAATCAGACCCTACAACTTTGTTCCCCATTAGATAATATTGCTGCACATTTAAGTTCCAGTTGCATTCCTTCATACCTGTTTGCTGTCACAGCTTCCTCCTACCCCCACATCATTTTATCCATCGTCCTTTCGCCTGCTGAGTGTTCTGGTCTCCCATCCAAATCCTGCTTTGCACACATCCTTGCTCCACTGCTGTTGGCCTCTGCCACTGGCATTCAGAGGGACCCTCCAGCATCTCTCCACTTCTTGAAGCTGAATATATTGTTGGGATGCCACTCTTTTCTCTCTTGCCACCATTCTAAGATCACTGTCAACTCATCCTGGGTAAGTTGACTCAGCTCTTTGAAGGGAACCTCAGGTGGCAGAAACTGTGGTGCAATATAAAGTGCAGTGTTGGACATGCTCATTAGTGTCGCAATTATTCTGAATGTGTTCTTGACATTCCCTCTCCTGGTCTTCAATTCAATTACTGGCCTGGCACTGTTGTAGCCTTTTCTGGCTGGCTTTTGTGGCATGGTGTGAATGATGTGAGCAGCAACTGTTGCTCACTAGCATTCTACATGTGGGACAATATTCAAAACTGACTTGGAGTCCCTTGAAGTGATTGGATGTGCATTCCATTGGTGTGGCAGGCTCTCACAGGCATGTAATGCACCCATGGCACCCTGTATTGTATTGTATTGATTCTTATTTAATGCCCTGGGTGTCCAGTATTTGATCAGCACAATCCTGGTTTGAATGAAATCTATGAAATCAATGCAATATTACTAGCCACCCTTCTGTGATTGTATGAAGTGTAGGTTATGATCTTATACTGGTGGTAAGATATGCAGTATACTGACAATTCATGCTATGCTTCATGTCCATATCTATAGCACCCTAGCTGTGTGCTGCCATATACAGAACTATCTGTGCTGGATGCCATGCACTGACATGAATCCTACTCAATCCAGATGTGTGCTGTGGTATGTTGGGTCAATGCCATTGGCTGCTGAGAACTGCTGGTTTATTCTTCTGCATCTAAACATGTGCTGCTGTATGCAGAACCATCCATGCCACACATCAAACCTTGATGTGGATCCTAAGGCAGTCAGGTGTTTACCACTGTTTGCCATGCCCATGCTGCCAGCTGCTGCCACATTGCCAGCATGTGCCAAGCAATATCTGCTGGCTGCTGTGACCCTCCAGAGACTCCCAGAGCAGGTGCTGCCAGGTGCCATGGTACATGTTGCCACAACTTCCCCATGAACTATGCTGCATGCTGCGATGTGCCATAATGTGGAATGCCATATCTGTCAGATGCTACTGCTTCTGAATACAAGGTGCTGCACTGCTGAGCTATCCTGAAGCATGCCGAGGTCTTGTGCCAACTTCCAGTGCTGATCTACACATGCTGCAGCATGCCACTGGATAGGTGACATCTCACACTAGGCTACTCCAGGTACTACAGGGACAATTTGATTGTGGCCTACTCATGTGTTATTTGATAATAGAAGCTGGGCTGGTCCATACAGCAGGGGGATGACTCAATGTAGGGCTTGACCTCTGCTGGCCCATGGGACATGGCCAATTGTCAGCCTCTGCTGGCCCTGTCATACAGTACAATGTAGGTACATTATGTGAACAGAACATGTACTGAGTTCTTTAATTAGAGCATGTCTGCATACTGTCAGAAGAATAAATTTCATCAAGTTTGCAGGTGTGACTTGCCCAGTGATGCCAGCTGAACAATCTTGCATATGAGATTTCAACCCCAGTGAGAAATCGCCATATGCAGAGCAATGTACTCATAGATAGATATATACCATGCATGTCCATTGTCTTACATATGAAATGGATGTGTCCATAGATGTTTTTGCTAGCACGATGTACCCAACACTATACCATGCTAGTCCCTATATTAATGCATAGGTCTAATACCTTTCCTGTTGTTTGCCAATGCTCATCTGCTTGCTTCATGCTTGCTATGCCCAGGCTATGCCAAAATATGTCAAATGAACATGTCTTGTGATTGTGGCATGCCAACTATGCATTCATATGTGACAATTGCCAAACTATTGCCTGCCTGCACACTGCCACCTTGACCTGTCACCTGCCAATAAAAATGCTCACCACTCCCTAATCCCCTCACCAATGGACCCAAATGACAGCCAATGTCCATCCAGCCCTCAAACCATCCAGTCAAGCCAAATCAATACATTGTGAGGTTTGAAAACATTGCAATAACCTCTGCTTTTTTGTTAATCCATATGCCATCAGAAACCTGCCAAATGACCATCAGGATGGGATGATTGGCAGGATAAAACACACCAGTTTCAGTGCTTCATCTTTGTATTTCTGTGCAGGTAGCTTAGTTGATACACATAGTGTAGTCACATTTAGTCACAACACATGGGCAGCCTGTGTGCCAAAACACCAACACTTATATAGACCCCAAGACAGGCCTGCCTAAATAGATTAGCCAGTACACATGGACAGGCCCAAGGGACTAAAGTGAGAGCAACATATGTATGGGCCTGTAAGTGCATTACTACAACATATGGGAGGGCCTGTGGTGGGTAAGGATGTTGAAACATTTAGACAGGCCGGTGACCAATTAAGTATACTGAGTTGCTGTAAGACATGGACAGGCCTGTCCTGGTAGGTTACACCCCTGTTGCAACATCAAGGCGGGCCTGCCTATCATAACATGGAGAGGGTCACAACATAAGGATGGGCCCATCTATGATTAGAATACAAAGTTGGCAACATATGGATGGGCCCAGGAGTAATATCATTTATGGTGTTGCAACATCTAGACAGGCCTGTTCATAATAAGCCATACCCCTGTTGCAACATAAAGATGGGCCCATCAGTAATGTCATTTCATAATGTCACAACATATAGACAGGCCTGTTGACAGTAAGATGTACTGCTGTTGAAACATAAAGACAGGCCCATCATTAATATCATGTAATAGAGTCACAACATAAGGCTGGGCCTGTCAGTAGTATTATGCAATATATGGATGGGCCCATCCACAGTAAGATGTACCTCTGATGAGACATGAAGATGGGCCCATCAGTAATCTCATGTATAGCATCACAACATATGGATGGGCCCTTCAGTAGTATTATTTATATCATCACAACATATGGGCAGGCCTGGCCCCAGTAAGATGTACCCTGTCAAAACATAAAGATAGGCCTGTCACTAGTATCATTTAATAGAGTCACAACATATGGATGGGCCCTTCAGTAATATTATTTACATTGTCACAACATGAAGACAGGCCTGTCAGTAATCTCATGCATAGCATCACAACATATGGGCAGGCCTGGCCCCAGTAAGATGTACCCTGTTGAAACATAAAGATGGGCCCATCACTAATATCATTTAATAGAGTCACAACATAAGGATGGGCCCTTCAGTAATATTATTTATATTGTCACAACATAAAGACAGGCCCAGTAATCTCATGCATAGCATCACAACATATGGGTGGGCCTGGCCCCAGTAAGATGTACCCTGTTGAAACATAAAGATGGGCCCATCACTAATATCATTTAATAGAGTCACAACATAAGGATAGGCCCTTCAGTAATATTATTTATATTGTCACAACATAAAGACAGGCCCATCAGTAATCTCATGCATAGCATCACAACATATGGGTGGGCCTGGCCCCAGTAAGATGTACCCTGTTGAAACATAAGATGGGCCCATCACTAATATCATTTAATAGAGTCGCAACATATGGACAGGCCCTTCAGTAATATTATTTACATTGTCACAACATAAAGATGGGCCTGTCAGTAGTCTCATGCATAGCATCACAACATATGGATGGGCCCTTCAGTAGTATTGTTTATATCATCACAACATATGGGCAGGCCCAGCCCCAGTAAGATGTACCCTGTCAAAACATAAAGATGGGCCTGTCAGTAATCTCATGTATAGCATCACAACATATGGACAGGCCCTTCAGTAGTATTATTTATATTGTCACAACATATGGGCAGGCCCAGCCCCAGTAAGATGTACCCTGTCGAAATGTAAAGACAGGCCCATCAGTAATGCTGTTTAATAATGTCACAACATAAGGACGGGCCCTTCAGTAGTATTGTTTATATTGTTGCAACATATGGATGGGCCTGTCAGTAATATCATCTAATAGCATCACAACATAAGGACAGGCCCTTCAGTAGTATCATGTATATCATCACAAGCAAATGGACTGGGCCCATCTAGCAAGATGCACCCCTGTTGCAACATAAGGACAAGTCCATGTATGGTATTCTTAGGCAGCAGAAAGGGAGATCCAAGCTATCTACATATGGATGGTCTGTGTAAGGCATTCTCAGGCAGCAGAAAGGGAGATCAAAGGGATCTACATAAGGATGGGCCCATCCATGGTATTCTCAGGCAGCAGATAAGGGAAAACAAAAACCAGTGTTACAACATAAGACAGGCCGATCTGTCCACTGCAGGATTACAAACCCTTGGCACTGCATAAGATGGGCCAAACCATCATATCATAGATAGCTCACCACAAATGGACAGGCCTATCCATAATTGGGTTATCCCCCTGTCACAATATAAGACAGGCCCAGGAAGACAAGAAATGAAGAAAGTGGAACCTCTTGCACTATAGAGTATCTGAATTTCCCACTATAAATTGTGTTTCATGTTGGATGATTTGCCTATTTAGTTGGAATCTCAGGTGCTGGTCTATGTAGCTGCAAGCCAGGCTCCACCATTGGAGCAGATGGGAAACACACAAAACAAACAGCAATGCTATTCCAGAACAATGCATCATATTTTTATCTGAGCCTCTGCTTCATATATGCATTCAGGATTATTGACTTGTACTGGTATTGCTGTCATGCTGTGGGAATCATTCATAGGTGGGATAAAAAATGTGACATCCACATATCTCATCATCTATCTTTAACCTCTGACTCTTCCACTCTCCAATCACCATCACCACTCTCACCATCAAACTACTCCATCATCTTGTCATCAGAAACATGTTGTCACTTGTCATCTCGCAAGCTCTTCAAGAAATCGCCTGAGCTTGATGCTATGGCCAACTGCATCCTTCAAATTTACTTCAAGGATATTGTGGAAAGCAGCAAGCTGGGAAAGGCAGACAAGATTGCAAAGTGGAGAGGTGCCATCAAGGCAATAAACAATGAACTAGTGCATCATAGCATCATCACATTTTTTTCACTAACTGATGCATTCAGGATGCTGTATGCAACCTCATCACTAGGATGGATGAGATTCCAATGACCCTCATCAGTGTTGACATGTTCTTAAAGTGGCATGAAGACCTTGGCTCAATCAAGCACCCATGGCCTGAGTGGAAGACCACCCTATCCCCTTCCAAAACCAATGTTGCCAACCACAAGTGGCTTGACATTGTTGAGCATCAATATGACTATCACCAGTTGGGCCTCCCTATGCCCTGCATGGTGCCAACACCAACACCACCTGCTCAAGAGACTGAAATGCTTATGAGCGACAAAGGAAAACAGAAAGCAACCAAGGCAGAGGTGGAGCAAATGATAGCAGATAGCTCACACAGGATGGAGGT